ACATAGCCATGCTACTGAGTGGTAAAAAAAAAGAAATGGAGCTGTAATGCTTAAACTCCAGGCATGGAGTGACCAAGTCTCTGCGCCCTCAGTTACTCAACAGAAACAAAGGGAACCAGGCTGGCCAAAGTTAAGAGAGTAAATCAGGCTTCTTTGTTATAGGTGATTTTCTTCAATGTCAGGCTCATTTCCGGCGTAAGCTTTAGGGAATCCATGTTGTCTAATACACTGTAGAAGCAGATTAAAAATTATTTGAAGTATAAAAAGCAATAATGATGTATCTTTAAAATTGGAAATATTTCTTAAATAGTGTACTGTAAGATCAAAAGGTGATTTTTTGTGTCAGCATAATTACATTGGTGATATGGCATTATATCACTGGATAATTTGATTCCAGAGTTGATTTGGTAAAGAGAAAGCAAGTCTGCCTGTCCACAATGCTATATGGCCCTCAAGTTTCATAACTAACCCGATTATACACATATTGCTTATTAATATGGTAAATCAAAAGATGGTATTAGGCATTTAATTGGCATGTAATAATGACGTGAAATTAATTAAATAATTATTGGCATCTGTGTTTATGCAACTATTTTTGGTGATTAACGGAAATATAAGTTGCTTATGGAAACATGTGAAATAATCTCTGAACAAGGTTATTAGAGGCACAAATGGAACCTCATGTTTGAACCAGTTATTTTGGGGCTCAGAGCTAACTTTTCTGTCTATGGAGTGTCACGGTTGAACACAGGCCTTACAGTAGATGGAAAAACTGAACTTCAGTTGCTCAAATTATTCTAGGTGAAATATTTTGCTCATTTTTCTCTCCCTTGTAAGCACTGTTGGAAGGTGACAGGGTGACCAAAGGAGATGTCCTGGAGGATATGCACTAAGCCCATTCAGAAGTGCAAACTGTGGTCTCCTTTTTTATAAGTCAGAAGGACCAAAGTCAAATACATCATTTATCGCAAATTCTTCTTTCTGCTTGAATGACTGTGTCCGTTTTCTGGATATGGAGACAGAATAGAGAGGTGAAAATAAAGTGGCTGTCTCGCCCTGTGAGCACGCAGCTGACATGATGATGAAATTTCACTTTCCGTTCCCTGATTGTCCACCTTAATCACGGGCCCAAACATTCCAGCTTCATTGAGAAACTGATTGCTCATGAATGTCACCCAGCCCCTGAGTCTCCTACAGAATGTCTCATCACACATGCTTGTTTAGATAAACAAATATTGCTGAGAGCAGCAAAATAAATGAAACCTTATTTGCACAGCTTTGTGACTTGTCACTGAACTTGCTGGTGACTAGGAAAGGACATGTTCATCCTGCTGAGTTTTTGTTTGTGAAGATACCCATAGGTTCTTCATCTCTTTTGGTGGTGCAGATTTTCATGAAACATGTAAGGTGAGCGTTTGAGAGCTCTGCTCCTCTGTCAAATTCGGCTGAAGTCAAATGATGCTTTCAAAATGTATTGCTGGGGGGAGACCCAGAATCTTGGCCTTCAGACTGATAGCAGGAGTCCATAAACCCTCTTTTCCTAGATGAAACAGGTTAAAATGATCCCTTACAGGCAAACCAAAGAGTATCAAAACATCAAGACTTATTTTGTTTGTCCCGTCTCAGGTCATTATACCACAACTTTTTAGTTATCTTTATTATTACAAACTAAATCATGCCCCTCTAAGAAGGGCACCTCCACAGCAGTTTGTCAGCAAGTTATTTACAGGTCTGTGTCTGCTGATTTTGCTAGTCCTTCAGCATAAGAATGATTTCCAGTACCACTGGTCTTTAATTTTGTATCTGAGCTAGTTTAACACCACAGCTTCTATCTTAAATATCACTTAGATCCCTAACCTCATTATTCTACCACATTTCTATCTTTAGTTGTGCTTACCAGGAGAATTGGAATAGAAGATTAACCCCCTTGCTAATTTTTGGTTGAAGTATGAGATCTTTGCTATTTGGTACAAAGTCTTGATAAGGTAACCAAGAGAAAGCTATTAAGGAGTGGTTTATAACAAAGGTCAATGCCCTTTATAGTACCACCTCTGAAAAAACTCTTCATTGAATTGCCTGTCAGGCAGCAATAACCACTTCCACTGATTTGTGGCAAACCCAAGAGAAAGAATGAGTACTTCCTCACCTTTGGTGTGTGTGAAGGGAGTTTCGAAATGACTGTGACACATCTATGTGTTTTTGCCCAGCAGGAATTACAGAAAAGGTGAATATGTGAAGAAAGGTCCCTCCTTGAAGATTGCTTTTTGCAAACATGGTGCTTACAACAGCAGATAAATAAGATGGAGACTGAGGCAGGACAGACCTTTTCAGTGGCGCATAGACCTGATGAAAGAAATGATAAATGCTGGATGCAGAGGTACCCAATGCAACAACTGCACACTGAAGGACCCACAGTCACCCACTCTTCAGAAAGTGTTGGCAACATCTAAGTCTAAATCAAATGAATGGCATGTTTGCCTTACCTTTGAATTCTCTGCCTTTTTTTTTTTTCAACGTCAGTAATAAAAGAAGTTGTTAGAGGGTTTTTTATAGAACCCTTCAAAAAATGAGTCAGAGTCTGTAAAGACAGACTGTGAGTTTGGTGCAGATTTCAAGCTGCAGAACAAAACCATATGCTTCTCTTTAGCAGGCATGAAGAGGATGCTCTAGTCTGGTCTCCTGGGAAGATTTTTTTTTGTATTCCTTTGTGTCAGGCACACCAGCAGGAGGAATAAAAAGAAAAGGTGATTCAGGTGCAGAATTATGAATTCAGTTGTGAGGGGCCCTTTAGGTAGTCCACATCCAAATCTTCATTTGTGCGAGTGCACAACATCCACCAGCCATTTTTGGTGCAATGTTAATATATTCCTGTAGCTGGACTACACCAGGCATGGCTACAGCATTTTGTGTGTAGCTGTGTGCTTCCCAAGGCAGGCATGGAAGATGCTGAAGAGAGCTGCTGGAGATAAAATCGCTTCCAAAAAAGTCCACCTCTGTGCTCATACTCATGTGAACACTTGTTCAGCATTACAGCTATTCTTCCAAAACTTTCCAGAGGAAAGGGGCCACATAGCCTTATTTTAGAGCAGTGTAAATTTCTGAATTGGTAGCCAGACAGGAAGAAGCAGCACCGCCTTCTGCCTCCCAAAACACACAACACGAGACATTCCAATTCTAACAAGATTTAAAACCAAATCTACCAGAAAAAAAAATAATGAGAAAAAGTTTTTGTTATTCTGAAAGATATTTCAGTGTTTGATCTTATTTTCTTTGGACTTACTTTGAGGATTTTTACTAAAAGAAATTTGGAAAAGCCAGTTTGCTTTGAAGTAAACATAGAAACTCAATGTGCAAAAAAACCCCATTGAAATGCTTTGGTATTTTGTAAATTGCAAACAATGATGAGGGAAAAAATTACAAACCCTCAAATTCTTTCAGTCAACACAATGTGCATTTTTTCCATCAAAAACCATGTTCCCCTACTGTCTCCCTGCAGTGAAGAAGCTGTATCACTAGCCTTTCCTGACCTCTCCATAAAAACTGCTTGATTAATGGAAAGGGAAAATGAGGAAAAAGCCTTCCCTACAGATAACAGTCGTCTTCTGACAGTGACAGCATCCCTTCTTTTCTTTAGGCACAGAGACCTTTTACACTTTGGGGGAAAAGGAAATAGATTCATTTCAAAGAACTGCATTTAGGCTCATTTAGAGTTTAACAGCCAGTGCTGTATTAATGGCTGTCATTTTCTTCCTGTGCTCATACCTGCTGACATGGGCTTACAGCATCCTCACGTTCGTCAAAGTTGTTCATCTACCCCAGCCTGCTCCAAAATACACCCCAGAGTCTAGAGTGAAGCTAAGCAATTCTTTAACTGCTGCTTTTCCCCGTGCAGTCAGGGATCTGTCATAAATGTAGTCTTACAAATCTGAAATTTAAAAAGTTATGTAGTAAAGGACACTTGCTAGAGACAGGCTTGCTTCCAGCTGAGAACAGGCTCATGGGAGCTTGAAGAATTCTGTGTGTGTCAGAGGGTTCTGTCATTTCTTAATTACGTGAGGTCCAAACTTAGCTGCTACACTGATGAGTACAGTTTTCCTAAATTACCAGCACTATCCCTTGCTTAGCCATGTCTTACCAGCAAGTAACTTCTTAAGCATTTTGAAATGAGAGGCCTAGAAAATTGTGAGAGTGTTGACAGAAATGATGACAACGAACAGTCAGGAGAGCAGAGTGTCTTGGATTAACATTCAAGACAGCAACTGCAAATTTGAAGAAGGTAGCAAAGATATTTCTAGATTTCTTGCTCAGTCTGAAGTACCAAGAGCACTGAAAGATAGAAGCTTGTGCTGAGTAAATGTATGACAGAGCCTCAAGCCTGTGAATGAAGAAAATATTCATCACACCTCTGAAATCTTGTTTGATAGTTTTGAATTGTTTTTTCAACTCTGCCCAAAGTATTTTTTAGGCAGACTTATTGTCCTTTTCAAGTGAAGATCACAGCAAAAATGAGTGAAGAGAAATGTAGTTTGTGTGAAAGACAGATAGAAAAGATTTCCAGTGAGGAATGTCAGAGGCAAATGCAGAAAATAACAATCTTCTTCACTGCAAATGATTCAATGTAAAGCATTTGAAACTCTTCAGCTGCACACTGCAGGAGGATGGAAGAGTCCTTGGACGAAGTATTACTACTTATTCTCTTCTGTAGAAAACTACTTTTGATTTGAGGTAAGGAGGCAGGATATGGGGCTAGATAGACTGTTGGTTCATTGTCATGCAATTTTCTGTGTCAGTTGCTCTTCAGCGCATAGGGTAATTTAGAAACACAGTGAGACTGGGAAAAAAAACTATTCTAATACCACACAATAGCAATATAGATATTCTGAGTTAAAAAAATAAAAAGGAAAGAAAAAAAAGGAAAGAAATTCTATTTGTGTATTTACCCTTTAAAATAGCAGGTTAGGAAATGGACTTGAATGTAGCTATTAGTTTAATGATAAAGCCAGGTAATTGATTTGACTCATTTAATTACCAAAGCTAAATACCCACATATTCTACATTACACTGAAAAGAAATTTTGTTGTTGCAAATGATTCCTTCACTTGCTTTTAACCCCAAGGGACAACCCCATGGTCCTGAAATTGGTCTTCATACTTCTTGGTTAATCCTAAGATTGGATCCAGATTCTGGAAATATTTGAAAGGTGAAGCCATCTCCTCTTGCCGCACCTACATGAAGGCTGCCTTCATGAAGCAATTGGACTCCTTTGGTTGCTAAGTGTTGCAGATGGATGCATAATATTTTACTGTAGCATGATTACCTTACTATTTTTCAAGGTCATTGCAAGGGGTGTAATGCAGAAATGAACCCATTCAGAAAGATTGTGAGACATTGATACAGCTACAGCACCTGAGAAAAGCAGAGAGGTTGCAGCATGCAGAGAAAAATACAGTGTGATAATCAAAATATTCAGGGAGGAAGGCTGCAGAGTAGTTTGTAGAGCAGGCTGTCCTTTCTGTACTTGCCTTTAAGGGCTGACCTTGGGATAGCAGGTGACATCTCACATGAGGCTCATCAAGTGGGATGTACCGGACAACAACCTGGCTCTGGCTCCAGCCATGATGGATGAGGGGCCAGAACATTTGGTGTGAGCTCAAATGTGCAAAGTACGGGGGGTAGACATGGCTTGGAATTTGTTTCTGAAGTAATCACTACCAGCATACCCACCCTTTGCTACCTCATAATTATGACAGGTGGGAAATTTGGGTGCTATGGTCTGTATTCCAGCTTTCTTCTTGTATTTCCTAAAGTGTGAAGGAAGCCAATTCAGGATGCACAAGTATTTCCTCAGTATGCTGTAAGACCTACACACTCATGCCAGAAACATGAAAACTTGCTATAGATTTTTATTACCCAAATATTTGCAATGGTTTTTTAGTTTTGATTTCACACTTGAAAAGTTTTGAAAAGTGCTGAGCTTCCATTAAATAGGAGAGCGGGTAGAGACAAGTGAAAACGGTGAAAGAAGAAGGGGAAACCATTCATCATGTGAAACCTATTCTGATATTTTATTCTGAGTTATTTTACTTGTTTTATCTCGAGAATCATAAAACTGTAAGACAGAAACCTGAAAACCCATTTGTCTCCCAGATAAATTCTGCTCTGCTACAGTGGCTCAATTAGGGGCTTATTAAGTGGTTATGATAGTCTTCCAAACTCCTTTTTCTTTTTTTTTTTTTTTATACTGTGAACTTCAGCCCGCATTGCAAAGATTAGAGCTCTTCTGACTTTAAATAAAAGCATGGAAACTGTAGGTAATGTTTCTGATTGAAACATTAAATATACGGAAGATCTAGATACCTTTGCAGTCTCAGATGCTACTTCAGCTAATCTAGGCACTTTCCATCTCAGCATTTCATACCAGAGTTACTCAACAGTACTTTAGAAAGAGAATTGCTGGAGGGTTTTATGCACCAAGTGGACAGTGAAGAAACAGAGGAAAAATTAAGTCACCTTTTTGCCAAGACAGAACTGGGCACGCTGACTTTGATTCCTGATGGGAGGGTCTTATATTTCAACATTTTGTGAGCTTTGCTCCTTGAGAAACGTTTGCTGTTTCTGCAACAAGTAGAACTCTTTGCACTGTCCAGCAAAAGGCTTATTGTTGCCCACAGTCAGCCTCCGGGGGGCTCCATGACACTGAATTTCTGACTTTGTGTTAACCCCTTTTTCCCCTTCAGGGATTTCTTTGGATACATCGAGACTGAAGGCACTCCCCAGCACGGGAGGGAGGCATCACTCAGCAAGCAGGGCTGTTTTGGGGATGCCAAACCCAGCTCCAGGAATCACACACACCATGAGGCTCCTAGCAGTGAGCAAGAAATGAGACAAACAGTACATTCTTGTTTTTAAAGCAAATGTGCTGCTGTCCCTGCTGAGAGGCATAAGGAAGGTTGTTTTTTAACTTTTTTTTTTTTCCTTTAAAGCCATCAGCAACTGCTGTCCAAAATCACATGTTGAACAGTCTCTGCATATCATCTTTCTAGCCCTCTTTCATGTTTCCTGGTGAGGCTGCCCTGCTTGTCAAGCAGCCAACACTCCCCAGCCATCGCTGATGGCCAGAAACTCATCATGGGCTATACAAATTGCCTCCAGAGAGCTTCACAGATCACAAAAACTTGTGTTAATCCAGAGGTGTTGGCATGCCTTCGAGGTTCAAATAAATTCTTTGTTTTTTTCTTTTTCTCACAAAATTTTTGGCCTGAATCATGAGAACACAGAGAAAGAAATGTAGTCCTATTACAGCAGAAGCAATGGTAATAGTTTGAAATCAGGCCACTTAAGGTGGAGTACTTTTTCCTCCACAAGCTGAGTTAATTTTCCTTTTTTTTCCAGCTCAAGTAAAATATATATTTATCTCAGGATAAGGTTTGTTCTTTCTGTATGACATTATTGAATTTAGCTTTGTGATCCAACCTAACTTGCAGATCCAGTTGTGGCTGCTCCTACAGAAGCCCGGATTCTTTCATTGTCTTTGAGTTATTTTTCTACCTCTATTTCTCCACTAATTGCAAGAGAATTTTGACAGTGATCCATTTCTCCAAAGTGCTGGCAGCCTCTTCCAGCCCGATATCACTGCAAATTCAATAAGTAGCACAACTACTCCTTCAGCCAGGTCATTAAAGTAGAATTGAATGAGACTGGGCTGATGTTTGACCCAAAGAGCTACTTTTCCAAAAAGTTTTGTACTTTTCCATAATTTGACCTAGACCACACCTCAACAGCTTTCTTATACAAGTATATTTTGGAAAATCCAGAAATTAATTGCTTGCATAGGAAGGTCAGTTATATAATGAAAGCCCAGAAAGGCCAGGCCAAGCTATGTAGAAGTGGTGCTGAGGGCTCAGGCACCTGGCAAGATAACAGCTGCTTCCTCTGGCTCTGACTGAAGTAGGGGCTCTCTGGGCATCTCTTATTTTTTAATACTGAAGCAACTTCATTGGTATCTGGAGGAAAATGGAGAAGGAGCAGCTCATTCTTATCATCAATGGCTCTACTTGTGGGACTCTCCTGCCTCTCCTGGCACTTACCAGGCCTGGAGAAATCTCAAAGGAACCTCAGATAGAAGAAGAAGGTACATCAGATAGAGTTACGTGAAATTTCAGTGCTTGACTGCTCAGTGCCCTATTTCACTGAGTCCTAGTTTGCTGTTCGTAGGTGCAAACCTTCAGTATCCTCACTGCCCAACTGATAGCACAGAGGCCCTTTGGAGTTTCCACAGCGGGGTGTTTCACTGCTGAGGTAAGGTAATACACAGAAATCCTACAGCCAAAAAAGGTTGCCTAAGCAAACTTTATTTTTTTTTGGACAGCAAAAGAAAGAAGGAAGCAATCTGCCTGAAAAATAAAGCTTTCCAAAGCTGAATTTCACAAAAATTCTTCTAAAATCTTGTACGCAAATAAAAGAAAAAAAAGACCCTAAACAAACACCTTTACACAAAACACACCAGGAGAGAACGCTCCTGCTAAGCTACAAGACAGCCAGTAACATTTAACTGGATTCGCTGAGAGAAGGAAGAATGTGAGGCTGGGTTATACCCATCCTCATTCACAATAAACTGATCTCAACCACTAATGAAAATGAGAAGCTTTTGTGGCGTTTAAGGCATAATCACCTGCCTCAAAACTACACACTGTTCCTCACATATTGAGGAATATTTTTGGTGCTTGACAAGATTTTTTTTCAGGAAGGACTTTAATCTAAATACTAGGTGTTTGGGTGTTTTTGTTGTTGTTGTTCTATTATTATTTTTTTTTAGTATTTATACTCAAAGTGACATCTGGCCTTCCAAAGTAAACTTAACTGCAGGTTTTCTGCTATTTTCCCCCCTTCCTACCAAACACTTCACAAGAGAAATTTCTTTGTGCACTCAAAAAATATAACTATCAGTAATAACAATGTTCTTAGCATCAGTTGATTTGGACTAATTTTGGAAAAAAAAAGAAAAAAAACTCTTTGTTTTGCCTCATGGATTGTTCAGGAACTGCACTCCAAGGTTCTTTCTACTGGCTGCTGCAGAAATCTCACAAATTGAATTGAACCTGCCCTTTGTTTACTTGCGTGGCAGGATTCTGTGCATCTCTGCTGTACTTCACACAGTAGGAAGTCAGAGTGGACTTTCCAAGGTCAATCTTGCTGCTGAAGACCAATGGGTCTCCTGCTGGGTAGGTGTCACAAGTTGAGTTTGTAGCAATGCAAACTTGTCAACTGCTGAGGAGGCTCCGGCAGTTTAAAGGCGTTTGACCGGTGAAGACCCTCACTGCCTCAAATTCATTTACTTCTCTGCAGGAGGTAGCGAGGGAAAAAAGGATGAGACAGATGCAAGTGAAAGAATCTGTGAAATTGTCAGTTCTCTTATCAAAAAGGCAACAGGAGCATAAAGTGTCCCCTGGAAGTACATATCGGTGGGCTTAAACTGCAGTCTTGGATCTCAGCTCAACAAACTACTAGGGAAATTAAGATCTGACCTGAGCTAATCTCCTAAGCAGATGAAAAGGCTGTATGAGGCACCTGGGGCTTGTGTTTCCACTCTGTAGCGTCTATTGTTGGTGAATTCAATAGTAGGAGAAAAACAATTAAAGTTTATTAGACCTGAGTTTCAAAATAGATGAAAAAATAACTTCAGCACTGATACACTGAGAAAAGAGTTTGGGAATAAGGATCCATGGAAACAGGCCTCTGGGAAGGGCTGTCACTGGGTGATGTGCATGAACATGGGGCACTGTGTAAGCAGCTTGAAAGGGGTAGAGCCGTGTGAGAATGTCACTGTGCCGGAATCAAGAAGCCCTAGGTTGTGACTTTTTGGTGGCAATTACTTTCACCCAATCAGCCTCTTAATTAATGCAGTTATTCTGGTCATGGGACAAATTTAGATGTCTCTCTGTTGACCTCCACTACACAGCAGAGAAGTGGAAAGGTGATCAGCCATGCTCGCTATTGAATTTATATATATCAAAAGAGCTTTATGAAGGTGATCAGTATTTTACAGATGTGCAAACTGATGTAGGACTTAATAAGGAGCTTATCCAAGTTTTCCAGTGGAGTAGCATCAAAGTCAAGGCTGGAATTGAGGTCCCTGTGTTTTGATGCAGCTTTATAAGAACAACTCTGTTCTACAAAAACGAGAGAGCACAAGCACAAGAGGTTCTTCCCAGATCACATTCTGCTGTAGGATGCCAGAAAGTCCCCTGGGTTCTGTTTTAAGGCTATCACAGTATGTTTCAATTCAGCATGGTAATAACGAGTGAATTTTTTCCTGTTATTGTTATTATTTGCTTCACTGTACTTACATTTTCTGCATGTGTCCATTTTAGGTTGTTTTAGCAAAATATTTTATCATGTGTTTAATTTTAAGTGTATGCTCTGAATTTCCAGGAACCTTAAAAGCATTTAAGCTGCATGTTCAAAGTTAAGCGGATACTTAACTGAACAGCGATGGACAACATGTGCACTGAATATTCAGTAAGTGTGTGACTGTTTTGCAGAGTAAGATGTACATAAATGAGAATAAATCTTTACATTTTAGTTCAGTAAGTATGCTTCCAGTGACTGCAGAGGATTATAAAAGGAGCTGGCTTCAATCTTAAGCGTTTCTTAGACGTGCAGTCTCAGGCACGAAGCAGGAGGTTCACCCCCTCACTGCCTGGGTGTGGATCACCTGCATTGGTTCATGCAACTCTGCATCAGCCCTGGCTCTCTGGGGCTCGAGATCTGACATTTGGTCCACTGAGTATGGTACATGTGATCCTGAAGTGGGGAAGGTCATGATGTTGCCCTGACCACTAATGTCACAGGGACACGTCATAATCTTTTAAACTTAAACTTTTAAAGAAAGCTAGGTAAACCCTAGGTTTACTACTCTCATGTGACATTAGTGTAGAAGAATCCACATTTTTGGAAAGACATTGGATGTATATTTAACTACCAAAGCTTCCTCTGTGGGAAAGGGAAGATCTAAGCAACCCCAACCAGGCATTGCATCCCAAATTTCAAGTGGAGAAGGGACTAATTGCCTCCAGTTATTATGGTTTTGGCTCAGGATTGTGTGGCCACCTGCAGCCTAGATGGGTGAATTTTACTCTCCAGGTAAACACAGGCTCTGGAGAACCCTTTTTCTAAAGGTCTCATTTGAGGCTATAGTCAATAAGCGGGTGAAATATGTGTCTACTTAATGATGGTGAAAATTGAAGGTGTCCAGTAAAGCAGCTGTAATTGTGTTTAATGCTGAGACAATGAACCTAGTTAAGATTCAATTTGGTCTTCCCCTTTGTTCCCCACTTCCAGTAATAAATGGTTAATTACCAGTTCCAAAGGCTCAGCGTAATTTGTCAGCTTGCAGAAATCACAGTGATCACCATACTGTCAGGAAGAAGTGTGACCCCTTTATTTTTCCAGATGAAAATATTTATTCTTTTAAGAAAATGCTAAGCAATCTCCTGGCTTGAACTATCAAGCCATAGCCTTTCCCCTCATCTTTGACAGGAGTGGGAACTGACAGGATGTGCCCATCTGCTGAGTGCCATGAACACAGGCCTCCCACATTGCAGCCACAACCTCTATGTTGATGTCTGTGTGACCCCTTCTGCTCTGCCACCACAAGGTACCTGGCAGGGCAAAGGCCAGCACTGGCTTGTCCCATCACCATGAGATAGTGCAGCCCCTCAGTAAGATCCCACATTCGAGCCTCATTTGAGCTAACTTGTAGCTAAATTTGCTCTCTAAACATTTCTATTGCCAAAAGCCTCGAAACCTGCAAACCCAAACCCACTCAACTCCTGCCTGATTCATATTTGCTTATCTTAGAGGAAGGACAAATATTGCCATTGGTGACTGGGCTGAGATGCTCCCTTTGCTCAAAGCAGTGACCCCTACATTACGGAAGTGGGGTATTTTAAAAAGTCGTTGCAAACCCCCTATTCATTAGTTATTGCCTATGTTTAAATTGTTCAGTGGATCCTGGGGGAATCTCACCCTGAAATTTTCACAGCTTGGGGCAGAAGCTGTCAAGTAAGCTAGTTGCATATATGGTTGTTGACTAGTATATATTGTAGTCCCAAATAATTTGAGCATTACAGTTAGGATTTTTTGTTGCTTTATTTATTAGGAATTGCTGAAACAGACTGAATTTGCACAATCAGGCACAGAATATCAGTGTTGTACTTATGTTGCCTATGACATTCATTGAGATTTCCTGCAAACAGCAGTAACTGCTGGTTCTCTGAGCCAAAGACACTGTGGACAAAAAATTAACAGCACCTTGCTGTGGAAATGCTGAGTGCATTTTAGATAGAGAGTAGTACTGATCTATTCTGTTTTACTATATGTTTTACTTCAAAACTCCAGGTCCTTTAAATATGCGGATGAAAAAAATAATGATTAGAAAAGAAAAAGTCTGAGGAAACATAATGGGGCATAGAAAAAACACAGTACAATTTCCATTTTGTAGCCCGCTCTTATTTTCATGCTCCAAGTTTCCTCAAGGAAGTAATTTGCTGACTGGGATTATTACCCAAGATAGCTTTCTCAAATTTAACAATCTTCTCACTGCAGGATAAAGAAAGGGAAGGTTGTATCCCAGTAACTGGGAAATGTGTGTGTGGCAGGGTCAGGGTAGATACTAATCTGCTAATCCTGCACTTTACTGCACAAAACCCATGTGTGCAAAAGGCATTTGCATATTTTCTCTGTCCCTGGCCAAATCATGCTAATAAGACAATTACAATTGCACCTTCTCCCTTGCAGCTGAAAAAGAGAGAAACCCAGAGTCACTTCCTTCCCTTTACAAGTGTTCCTCTAACTTTCAGAAACACTGACAAGCACCATCGAGGTCAACAAATTTAGGAAGACTCATAATTAGGATGCAGTGTCATTGAGCTGTGTTCTCAGAGTTTAACAAAACAGATTACAGTTTACATAGTTCTTGCAAGTTGCTTTTAACAGTGAACAATAGGGCTACTCAATGTTGCTGGTTTTTCTCATTCGTTTCATCTCTTAACCTGTCCTTCTACTTATTTCCTGTTCAGCGTAATAATTGAGGTTGGCATAACAGATATTCTGTAACTGACTCATAAGCAAGTAAGCAAGGAGTGTTTCTCTTAGGGAATATATTTGTTTTATAATCCTTTTTCATCATTAAACCCCCTAAGAAGTCCCTAATTGCACCCATTTCTCTTAAACTTTTGGTACCTCCTTGTACTACAGAGTCTCCATTCTGGCTCATCTTCTCTCTGTAAGGCAGAATGCTTCCACAAGCCTTAACTAATTACCAAAATGAGAGCTGAAAAGCAAAACAAGAGGTATCATTACAATCTGTCTGCAACCTAATGACTTTTGCAATTACACCTTGATTGAACCTGGGATGAAGCTGCAGCCCCTTTCTTGAGTACTATTTACTGATGACTAACAGGTATTCATCAACATGCTGTGACCCAGACCTGACTGAGGGTTATAGTTTGCACTGGTGAGAAAGGAGAAGCCAAGACTGGGGGAGCGTTTGCCTAGATTCTAAGGTTCTTTGATTTTCCTCGTACTCTTTTTGGCAGGTGTCTTGCATTGGACTTGCAGTCTACCAGTAGGGAGTGAGGAAAGTTATCCAACATTTTTCCTTAAACAAATACTGCTTTGGTAAGCGCCTAGAAGCCTTTGTCAGGAACAGGTCCCAAGAAAAAGCATTTTCTGCATTCCAGAGTAAGCTAAAGAGCTACCCAAAGAAACAGTCAGGAAAACATTTCATTAAGACCCTCTTCACTTTGAAGGAAAATTGAGGCCTGGGAGCACAGATGTCACAGAGCTGAAAGGAGAACCCACTTTTTTCTGGTTTTAGATGAACTCCATGTGGTGTGTGAATTTATGCATCTTGACACATACCAATTCCAGATCCTGGCTCCATTTGCTATCTGTGGCCTGTGGCTGCCTTTAATCCTATTTTAGGTGTGTTATGATTTTTTTTCCTCCCACAGCTATAGATGATTCTGAGTCCTCAGAGCCCTGAATGGACTGGGACGTTTATTGCTTTCTTGAGATCTGATAGCAGGTCCAGTCATACAAGACAGTATGAAAATAACTCATGGCTACTAGAACTCCTTTGCCTCTCAGACCTGAATCTGGGCCTGCTGGAGATCATGGATTAGTTTTCATTTACTGTGATGCACTTTGGATTAGGCATTAAACTGCTGCCATTTCTGCTCTCCTCTTTCTGCTGTCAGTGTTACTTTGTCAAACATGTGGAAACATCATGTTTTTAAAAATCAATAGCTTTTAGAGAAGTAATGAAGGAAACTTAAGTTACCAGTTTGGAGAGATGGAGAAAGGATTTAAAGGTGTGAAGACACTGGCTAACAAATCAGTTCTTCCCTCTGGTCTGCTGTCACTGAAGTCCAGATGGTACTTGAGCATATCAGAGGCTGAAACCAAAGACCCCCCAGTTCAGACAGACGGTTCATTATGGTGCAGAGCGAGGACCAGCTGCACAGAGGAGGGTGTCTATTACCTTGTTGCTCAACTGCTTCCTGCTGAAGTCTGCTACATGCCCATTGCTTTGGTAAAGGTTAACTCGTGCTGCGGAGTTTTAATTGTCTATTATCTGCCCAGAAGGAACTAATTATCATAAAAAGAGCAAGGCAAAAATCTTCTTTTTCTGGCTATTTTTTTGTTGAGTATTTTTGAAAGAAACATGTACATAAGTCAAACTCATGAATGAACAAAAGAAAGAACGGTGGTAATGTGTTCATTGAGGGAGGAGACCTTGGGTCACGCAGATTCACCAGCAATGAATCTAAATAAAGTCAGGGAGAGTATCACTGACTACTGCAATTATTATTGCAGTGATTGATAATGTAGTTGATCAGCTAATGTGGCGATGTGCGTGGTCTGAAGGTCAACAGCACAGCTGGTGAGGTGGAAAACCATGCTGTTGTGATGGGATGGGCTGATGCTTCATGGTCTGATACACAGTTCTTGTAAATCAAGATTGATTTGGATTACAGTGCCCTGGTCCTGTGCTGTCCTGTATGTGGTAGCTCTGCAGGATTGGTTAGAAGTTTGTCCAACTTCAGCCTTTTCAAGTTGGGTTACTAACTTTTATTGGTTCCTTCCTTTAGTTTTAGATGGAATTTAGGTTTCAGAAGAGAAATAGAATGGATTTATCTATTTCTGTAAAAAAAAAGAGTGACATAAGAAATCCTTTTGTAGGGATATGACTAGTTTTACTTACTTCCAGGAATGCAAAGAGATTTAATAAGTGATTTGGAGAGGAGAATAGTGTAGTGAAATTTCTGGTAGTTCACTCACTCATGAGCAAAACAGAAAGAGGTGGGAGACCTGAGGTGAATGCTAGATAACCTGTAATGATGAAGAAAAGAGTACAGAATATTAAAACATAAATTGTGCTAAGGACACCTTTCAGTGCAGATTTGTGTATTTTATTCCAGAAGTTCAAAACACTTAAGATTACAGATTAAGTCAATGATTTAGAAGGCCAGAGTTATGAACATATGACATAATTGAAGAACAGAAAACTGCTGAAGGAATATAAAGGACCTCTATGCTTTTCTGTTCCCACAGCCATGACTCTCACATCCAGGTGTAACCCATTGCTGTAGTTCAAACTGAGAAAAGCAGGAGAGACACGGGCATTTTGTTGCAACTGCTGAATGCAGGGTAGAGCAAGGCACTCAGAAAGAATGAAGAACCGCAGTAACAACTGTAATTAACATTTTCTTATTTAGTATACATAATCAACAACAGGGACACGAAGTAAGGTTTGTCCCTGAGTTATGACCCGACTCGGTAAAATGTCTGGATGTGCCAAAGGCAGTTACATTGCACAAATTAACATTTTCTTTTGCTTCTCAAATTTCCTTTCTGGATGTTTTTAGACCTCATATGTTTGGGACAAGCTTTCTTCTGGTACTAAATTATTCAGGCTGAAATCACATAAAAATAGAAGATTGGACAGTTTTAAAGGCAACTAGAAATCTGAATACCATCTTTATTTATTATCAAATAGGGAACAAATTTGAAGCTGCTTTACTGCATTGTTCTATAAATATTGACTAAAGTATTACTGTACAAAGAAGAGTGTAAGTTATTACTCAGCCCTCTAAAAACAGAAAGGGAGAATCTTTCATTCATTTCATTGTATTGTCAGAGTCTTAGAAGTCATTCATTCTAGGAAGAAAAGACGTCTTACAGGTAATTTACTGTATTTGTGCCTTCTATCCCATGGGTTATAATGCAAGATAAAGTGTCAGCTTGTGCTTCCAGTCTTCATTTGTCTTAGATTATTCCATCCTCTTTCTCTGAGGTACTCTTCAATGTAATCATTATACTCCAGTTTGGCTCCCTGCAGAAAGCTTGAATGGTATCATTGCAATTAAGGCTTTGGTTGGCTCCTTCACTCAAAGGTCTTTTCTCTTCCTGGAAATAAATAGTAAAGCCAAGAGAATATTTGCTGTTACGGTGGAGACAGTGTTCTGAGATCTGTTTGTACTCTCAGGAAGGAGAGGGGTACTGTGGTGGTAGGTCCTCATCATCACAGGCTGTTGCTGTACATGGAGAAGGGCCAATGGAATAAAGAGATAGTTTCTGAATTTGAGATGCAGACAAGTCTTTTCCTGTAAAAAGTCAAGAAGTATGTCTTTGTAGACACTTCCTTTTATATGTAGGATTCATCAGTTTGTCAGTGTCTTCTGTTAAAATGAGCACAATACCACATGCAAGGTTGTGACAGTAAACCATCATGGAGACCGCTGTCTCTTATGAACCAAAGAAGAAAACCTTAGGGGAAACGCAAAAGTGGTGCCCAACATCCTCTTAAGGTTCTGCCACTCAATTGCTATATGTTGTACTGACATTCAGCTTTTCACATACTGGAAATATAAAGCTCATGAAGTATCAGTCCTGCATACTGATACACGGGCATCTTTGGGAGAAACCTGGTGGCTATTTGAAATTATGATTGCAGATGTGGATGATGTTTGTGTTATTTTCAGTTAAAGCAGAGAGTGCCTTTGGCCCAAGAGAGAAGAATCCAATTTATGGACTGGATTTACAGGTGAGTGTGTGAAACCCAACTGACAAACCATTCACGACTTTCCTCAGTGAACCTGTCAGCAGGACAGATGTTGTAAACTCCCTCTACATTAAAAAAACCCATTAAAACATCCCTCTCATGCTCTTTTTGTGGACAGATGTTATTTCTCTACTGAGGGCTCAAAAAATGTGCCAGGTGTTGGCCTGTAAACAAAGGTCCTTGTCTCCCAAAGGTGCTAATACAGAAATCAAACATGTGATGTTTCTGGAGGGATCTGTGGAAAGTGGGGGGCATCTCCTCCCTGGACAGACAGGGCCAATGAATGCTTTTTTTCTCAGTAGTTAGAAGCATGACTGAAAAGATGCTGTTCAAGGGAGATCTTTGGTCACCAGGGAACTACCTTTTTGACAGTGCTGACCAGACTGCCACAGGAAGGGTCCAGCTCCCTCCAGAGGGCTATTGGGTTTTTTTCTTTGAAGAGGGAAGAATCCACAGCACAGCATTATATGGATCAGGCTGTGGGATCATCTGCTCATGGCTCTCACTCTAACTCTTCCATGCCTCTGTTCACCATGTAAAAAGAGGAGCTAACAGTTGTGTTTTACCTGTTTTGTAGTAAAAGCATCTCTAGCTGTAGGCACACAGCACAAGAGGATCCCACCACTGGCCAAAAACCCTTGCTGCTTCTCACACATTAGAGGAGAATCAATGGTTAACACATCTATGACCTTCCCCTCAAAAGAAATGTAAAGTTTTTCTGTGTGCATGGAAAAAACAATCTTCTGCACTGAGAGAGCAGAGAAAGACAGATAGAAGGCAAAAGAAAAGAATTGGTGGGGTATAGGGTGAGCTCATAGCAATAATTCCATTCTAAAACGGAAGTAGGAACTGTCTAAGGGAGTTCAGTGCCCCCATTTCTTACCTCCCTGGAGCCCTGACGTTGCAATGCTAGTTTGCAACCTTGTGTCCCTGCCACAGCCTTGTAGAGCTTGGGCATATCTCTCATCATAGTCCTAACAATGCACACACCACTCAGTTAAGCCACACAGCTGTTTTAACATTCTCCTTAACTGTTTTCTAGGGCAGAGTTAAGTTTTTTTGGATGTCTTAAGGAGTAAGGTTATAATATTTTATAAATGTAATGTGTGTATGTATAAATATGTTTATAATATTTTTTCTTACTGGAATATTCCTCCTGAAATAGTTTATTTGGAATGTATAGGATAATTTCTCTACCTTTGGAGAAATGTAATTTTTTTATCTTCTTTCTGTGAATACAATGCTATTCTATTCTATTCTATTCTATTCCTTATGCCACTGTTACCCCTGGAGGTACCATTACCTCCAGTACCAGCTGACTTTAAATGCCCCGTCTAAGCCCAGAGACAGAAATTAAAGTGGAACTAAAGAGCGATATGACACGTACCCAACTTCAGCTCAGGGTATTCTGTCCCTCCCACTCAGCAGCTTCTCACCCTGTCCTCTTCCCCCAGAAAGGTGTAAGACCTCAATAAGTCTAACTGAACTCTGCAGGTATGGAGCCCTGGAGACTGAGCTCACAGTTAAATCAGGGCTTTGTTGTCAAGAGATGTCAGCGTGAGGTCATGCCGTGTTACAGCAAGAAGGTTCATGATGCCACCTTAACAAGGTAGCCCTAAGCTCTCTTTCAGGGCATAAAAGGACTGGAACAACTAGGAGGAAATCCATCAAATAAGATGAAAGAACATCACACACACATGCAGACACACACACACAAAAAAAAAAAGGAATGAAAACCCCACTGTGATGTACTAGACTATGAAGCACAAAAGAAACAATGAAAGTAGTAACTTCAGAGAGTGCTATTCCTTGTTCAGGCCTGCCTTTGATCTTTCTTTTCAATTCCCACAAGGGTGTCTTCACAGCTCTTGGATGTGGAATTGCTGGTACTGAATCTTCACCCATTTGATGGTCAAACGAACCTCTCTGCCCGTATGATGTACTTTTGCTATGGCACGTCTGCATCACGGAGCCCCTGAGTCAACCACAGCCCCTGTAGTGCACGCAGAGTGCAGGTAGATGCTGAGTTTCAGAAAGGGAGGGCTGCCCTTGCCCAGCCTTGGAACACAGGTAGTTTGTAAACTCTTCCCCTTTCCTGTGCCATTGCTGCAGGCTGGTCATGGTGTCTGTGCTAAACATCTTCTGGCTTTCTTTTCCTAGGGCAAGCTCATGTGCATCTTCATAGACCTCCCACATGCTACCTGCAATGGGACTCCCACAGGAGCATCTGCATCTACTGAGTAGACAAGCCCAGAGTTTGGTCCTTTTGGAGAAACAGCCTTTGGGATTGTTTCTGGTATGGTTTTAGAAAGAAAAGGTCAGAATAATCCTTAATACTTAAAATGTAGTGTTGATCGTGGATTCTACTGTCTCTTCCTTGCTTGCTGTTTACTGAGGAGAAGGACTCAGAGAGTAAGTCATCCCAGACTGTAAAATGAAACCACGGTAGTAGGAAGGTGAGCACCTCTGTCCCATGACCATGACACCAGTGCATGGGGGGCTCTGGTGATGGACTGTGTTGTGCACAGTGAGGCCTGGAGACACAGTGAGGCCATCCTGATGGATTTCAGCCTTAAGAGTCAGTAATGAAGCCAAATCTCTTTGTTTCCATCCCTGTCCCCTGCATGACTCAGTTATTGCATATTCCAGATTTATTGTCTTTCATAAAATTTCCCTGGGATTTAATGGAGTCACAGAATTCTTTAGGTTGGAAAAGATTTTTAAGATCATCAAGTCCAACAGTTAATCTAGCACAGGTGTTTAGCCTGGAGAAAAGGAGGCTCAGGGGAGACCTTATCACTCTCTACAACTGCCTGAAAGGAGGATGTAGCCGGGTGGGGGTTGGTCTCTTCTCCCAAGTAGCAAGTGCCAGGACAAGATGAACTGACTTCCAGTTGCATCACTGGAGATTTTGATTAAGTATTAGAGAAAAATTCTTCATAAAAAGAGTTGTCAAATATTGGAACAGGCTCCCCAGGGAAATGGTTGATTCACCATCCTTGGAGGTATTTGAAACACATGTAGAAGGGCTGCTTAGGGACATGCTTTAGTGGTGGACTTGACAGTGTCAGGTTTATGGTTGGACTTGAGGTTCTTTTCCAACCTAAATATTTCTGTGATTCTATGACTTTTATTTTCAATCAGTTCTGCTAAACCATTTTGCCTGTCATTCATTTAACAGCAGCGAAAGGAGAGTATTTGAACAACCAACTGAGCTTTCTCTGAGCAAGAAAGGGAGTTAGAGCAGAACCAGGAGTACTCTGCAAACCCTGTAAACCAGTGTTTGATTAATTTCAGCTGGCTTTAATTAAGAAGTATTCCCTCCTTAGTTAATTATGTGTTTTATGAGAAGTGGGTGTGGTTATCTGAAATCAAGAAAGGGATGGTGTTTCTGTCATCTGATTAATAGAGAGTATACCAGCTCTGGAAAGTAAGGCAGTGTTAACAAGTATATAGAGAGAAACACACCCCCACCAGACACTAATAGGATCCACCTTTAAATTAATATTTGAATTTGCTCTAATGTACTACATGATGTAATGTACTCTCATATTAAATGCTTTCTGTTGATTGTATTTTAGTTTTATAGTAATGCTCTGTGCAGAAAAGAGGATTATTCTGAAGTAAGATAGGGCTCAAACTTGAAATTTCTGGAACAGACATGCTTTTATATGCATTATTTTCAAAGCACTAAAACATTCAGCTTCCAATCTCTGAAAGTCTCTCTTTTCTCTTTTTAACCCAAGAAGTGCTCAATCTTTCCTTCCTTTGGTGATCAGAATCTTTTAAAACAGGTCAGAAAGGCATTCAGATACCAAGCCTTCTAAATCAACTGTAATTCCTGAAAATTTATACCATGCTTAGGATAGGATAATAATATATATGCTCTTCATCTGCACAAATGTGTATGCACAAGTTGATGCTGTTAGTGACTTGATTATGATACAGAATTATCAAACCAAAATTTTTTGGTCCTGTAAGTTTTCAACCTGACAGACAAAGAGAATGCAACAGGTGAATGACAGAAATGAAACTGGACAGTATAGGAGGTTGGCATAAAATGTGATCACCAGGACAGCAGGAATCACATGGACCACCGCCTGTTTATCCTCCCTAGACTCTCTAAACATGTCTTTCAGCAACAAATGCGGACTGTAGAAAACTACAAATCTCCACTTTTATGGCTTTTAATCTTAGCTGTGAATTGAATAATTTACATTACTTGACAGTGAAATGGTGCAAAGTTGTTTGAACATGGAGGTAAATACAAGTCCTTTATAAGAAAAACACTTTGCAAAAGAAAGGTGTAGGAAAGTCAAGATGTGTAAGCAAGACACAGAATAACCTCAAGGGTGATGTGCTTAAGCTTCACTGAATAAACAACAGAATGATTTGATATCCTTCCCAATAAGCTTTACAAATAGTACTGCACTGTCTGAACGTATTTCATACTTGCAAGCTAGCAGTGTGTCAGAAGTGGCAGCATTCAAGCCAACACTCCACTCTGCCACATTCCCTAGTTAAGTGCAGGGACAGTAAATTTCAAAGCATCTTTAATCTTTGTCTCAAGTGTAAACAACTTCACATGGGCTTTACCAAAAAAAAAAAAATAAAATTGAAGTCCTTGCCTTTTTGATGGTTTAATCTCAGTGCTGATGCTTGTTGATGGATCAAACACTCAGTCCCCTATTTTTAAATCATTTAACTGGTTCAATAACTGTCTTAGCCTTTGCGTTGATAGTTAAATCAATTCTTAGAAAAGAAAATAAGCTTGTCAGTGAATCATACCCAAAGGTCTACCTTTCCTTAGATCCCGTTGCAGTTTATATAAAATAAATCAACTCTGAACTTTCTTAGAAATGAAAGGGAGTGAAGAGAGCAAATGCAAGAATTGCAAACTAGAAACAGTAATGGGTTAATTGTTGCCATCATGGTACCACAGAGTAGATTGCCATAGACAGTCGTATTTCTGCCATTTACAATGAGTGGCTGCCATCACCATGCCTGTCCGTTTAAGTATCTTTGCAAGCAAAGCACAAGTATATGAAGTAACATTGGACAATTCTCATGAAAAGTTAAAATATTTAGAGATTCCTTGGACCCAAACTGGACATCCTTCCTCAGGAGAAACCTCCATGGGATTTGAATGTGCAGAAGGACCTCAGCATTGGAAAATGCGTCTGTGTCCTGGGCAACACTGTGATGGACATCAAAGAAGCCCTGGATCTGCTTGATAAGACAATAGAATAGACTGTACCTTTCTCCCTTTCCTACATTGCTCAATAATTGTGGCTTTTGGTCTTTTCCTAAAAGTCTACTCTGTCATGAGATGCCGGGGCAAATTTAAGAAGGGGTGCCTGAAAGACACTTTCAGATGAAACTTCTATTGCAGCGGTTCCTGGAATTGCAGGGCATTGGACTTGAGGACATAATTGAAGGTACAAATTGAGCTAGAAACAGAATACAGAGAAATGGTCCTATGTCCTGTAAAATAAGACATGTTAATCACTTAGTGTCAGAATGAAGAAAAGACAACAGAATAAGATTTAAAAGTGCATCTTCCTGCTGTCACTTTTGCTGCCAGATACTAAATCTCTTTGTGTCTCACTTTTTCAGTTGCAAAATGAAAGGTTTTCTTTCAAAACTTTAACTTCCCCTGCAAATGTTCTCAATTTTCCTTTCTTTTGGGGAAAGAGATTGAAATAATTTGACAATTTATTTCTTTCCTCAGAATTGAATGAACTATAAAGGTTTATTTCTATGGTTGTCTTCCTTGGTCTCTACAATTTTTTACAGATTAGTAAAAAGAAGTTTTGTGGCTTTATCTTGTTTGCAAAGTTTAAAAAAGTTTTACAGTGGAGAAATAAAAAAATATAGAACATAGCATTAGAAGGAGAACACAAGAAGACAGTCTCAACATTCTCCTTGATAAGGGAGACACTCTGAAAATGTAGTTTTTCTAAGATTAGGAAGAAAATTTATATTCTACAATTAGAAATATTGTTTGCATGATTTTTTCTGTTACAACAAATATACACATATCTGAAGTCAGAATTTGGGCCATAATACTTTTCCTGTTGAAACGTCCGTTTCTGAAATGAGTACCGCAGTGCCTTCCAATGATATCTTCTGGTCCTGTGTTATAGCTATGCTTGGAAACAGACCTCTTTAATAACATAAGCATTCCCAGAAAAATCCTTGAGTTATATATATTTATTAAGCATTTTTACAGCATTATTTGCTTTTAAATGAAGATGGATTTTAACTTGCTGCTTCCAATTAGAATAATAATAAACATTTTCCCTGATGATAATGACATGCAATAGTGTCAAATTGGAAATGCAAAAGCTTTTTCTGTTGGTACAATATAAGTTACAGTATCATTAAATATATAATCAGCCATTTATTGCTTGTTTTGTTTTTGAGACGCTTAAATTAAAAGTTGATTTGTCTCTTATTAGACCTCAATAAATGTTCCTGTAATAGTCATAGGGTGTTTTAATGCTTTACAGAATCATTGTCATTAAACTGAATGCAAGACATTGGACTTAAATAAATGAAAAATGGAAAAAGTCAATAAATCAGGATAATAAAAGCTTTTCTTGGTGCTGTTTGAATTGTGCTGAAATGGATCTGTCTCTTAAACTGCCTTTCAAAGGCCAAAGTAGCTTAATTGCTCTAGGGCTTGATTATGCCTGCATGAGTCAGCTGTGGCAGTAAAAAAACACATTTCACAACAGAAACTTGAGGATGAATTTTGTTGCTGTGTTGGTAGACTTCTCTCTGAAACAATGGTCAAGTAAGAAAAACATACTGCAATGACTTCTGCATTATGGGAATCCTACTTCTATATCAGGGACTGATGGAGAAAGCGGAAGGCACAACAGTTGGGGATAATTCCTTGCGAGTTTATATTGATTTTCTTCAGCTCCTATGGTTTACTCTGTCATCCACTGCCAACACACAAAGTGACTCTCAAGCACATCATGAGATATGTCTTACAAGGTATATAAAGTACATATATGACATGAAGTATATCTTAAAATGTATTGGTCAGCATTATTCTGAAAAACACCTTGACGCTAATAGGTGTGTCTTAAATATCTCAGAAGTGTTCTCTTTAAATGAACTTCTTCAGTGTAACTTTATTACTGAATTTGTTTGTGTATTTGATAAAAAAAAAATTAAGTCATACTTTCTTGGCTAGCTAAGTTACCCAGATGAAAAGTAGAATTTTGTGATTCAAATCATTAATGCTCAATCT